TCTCTCTGTCCCAAAAATAAATAAACGTTAAAAAAAAAAATTAGAAAGGCCAACAAAGATCTAACTGAAGCCTCAAACCATTCCAAACCCCAGGGAACACACACCCCTCTTGATGCCAAGCTCACCTCCACAATTCTTCATATCATCATGGAGGAAGTATTCTGGGGGGCAGGAGCAGTAATAACCACCCATGAAGTTGTTGCAGAAGTGGCTACAAGGGGCATTGGCAAAGTCTGTGCACTCGTTTACATCTAGAAAAAGCAGAGAAAGATTGAGGTCAAGGACAGAGACTTAGAAGGAAGAATGAGTTTAAACCCAACCCTACAAGGGTAAGAAACGGTAGGAACGGCCTGTTACTTAAATAAATGAGTGAATCACCTTTCAGGATGGTATTATTCTGTGTTACTCTCCTGAAATATGATTCGAGAGTTGTGCCCTGCCATTGCACAGCTATAAGGGAGCTCTCAATGCCAGAGACCGTTGGCCTTTCTCACAGAGCATTTCGGCTCCAGAGACAACACTCTATAGGTTCAACATGATGAAATGTCTACTTCAGGGAGGAGCAATTAGTACACTTATCACTTTACAGGATTTGGGCACTTGCGTTAAATCTAAACAACAGTTCAGCCTTATGAGATGTTCTAACTTCACTTTAACCTGGAGTTAGGTACAGAAGCACCCAGAATTTGAAGGTTTGTTTGCCATTGGATGGGTTTGAATACCACGCATTCTTCGTGTGATTCTTGGCAAGTTACTTAACTTTCCTAGTCTTCTCTTTCCTTATCTTTAAGTGGAGATCATAATACCCACCTTGAAGAGTTGAGGTGAAGCTTAAGTTAATATAGGTAAAATTCCTGGGTTTTAAAATCCCAGTTTATAGTGGTTCTCAATAAATCACTATTTATTACCTATTTTTACCATTATCATCATCACCCCTAAGATACCACGTGTTTGAATTTCACAAAGGCAATTCCTGGAAAGACAGACCCAAATCAAGTCAACACCTCTTAAGAGTTACAAACAGGGGGACGCCTGGGTGGCTCAGTCGGTTAAACGTCCGACTTCAGCTCAGGTCATGATCTTGTGGTCCGTGAGTTCGAGCCCCGCGTCGGGCTCTGGGCTGATGGCTCAGAGCCTGGACCATGCTTCCGATTCTGTGTCTCCCTCTCTCTCTGACCCTCCCCCATTCATGCTCTGTCTCTCTCTGTCTCAAAAATAAATAAACGTTAAAAAAAAAAAAAAGAGTTACAAACAGGATCCTTATTTGCTGAATTGCTGTTTGTTCTGCTTCTAATCTTTTAGCTGGACCCATGAGGCACATAAAGAGGGGTGAGCCTTACCTACAGCGACATAGTAGGCAGCAAACCCAGTGAAACGTTCTTCATTGGAGAAGTCTGACTTAAAGATCACCTGGAGTTTATTGTACGGGATTTGGAACTCTTCCACGATGGGAGAGTTGGGACTCTTGCTGGTCCTCTGCCCACAGAGTTTCCCTTCTTCAAAGTCTCCTGACATTATCTAAGAGAAGAATCAAAAGGAAGCTGAGAAAGGGTAATATTTTGGCATGGAGGTCAGAAAAGGGGACAGAGGGAATAGAACATTCCACCACCACCCCCAGCCCTATCCTTTATGCGCTTATTATAATATACCTGCACTGAGTCATATGCGCAGTTCTCCGACAGCTCTATGTCCAGATGGGTGAAGTAGAGGTGGATCCCATACCCTTCAGGAACTTCTATATCCCAAGATTTCTCTACCTCATTGGGGTATGCCTGAGGATAGTTCGGGGACAGGATCTCCCCATACATAGTAGGCTCAGCATAAACGGATGCCAAAAGGGAAAACAGGAAGACGCACCTGAAAGACAAGACATACGGAGACGTGGGTGACCCAGGTACTGGCAGACTAGTGAAGTGCTCGAGCATTTGTCATGGGCAGAAGGGAGGGGAAAGGAAGAGGGCAAGAGCACATGGAGAATCTCGTTGGAATAAAGCAAAAAGGCCTAGGCTGAACCAAAACCTGGGCTTCAGAGCCGAGCTGCCTTCTTGAGAAGGTAAAGGGAATAGAGCCCATGTACGTACATCTCTGTAGACTCGTGATCACTTACCGCATCTCTGGCAATTTGTTCATCCCTGGTGAACGGCGGTACGCCTCTTGGTCCTGGCTCTCTGCACCTCTGGACTTTGGAGCAAAGGGGTGGCAGGCCCGGCTGTATTTGTCTAACAAACACAGGCACCTTCTTTGGTGGTGGGGTCACCTGGGGTTCAGTGTCACCTTCGTGACAATAACACACAAGCTAAACAAAGCCGCACACTGATCACCGCATGAGGCCTGTCCTCTCCCCGCCTCCCTGGTTCTACTTCAATTCATTTTCTAGACTAAAACTAGAGCTTATCCTTCTCCCATTGCTTCTCAGGATCTTCTCCCAGTTTTTCTCCCAAAGAATAAGCACTTTCTCCCAATTTTCTTCCTTCCCTGTTGCCCTCCTTCACCCCTACCCCCCACCCCTGCCCCCTCTCTATCAGCCTCTCTCCTGCCCTCGCAAAACAATATCCCCGTTTCCACTCAGGCTTTCAGGCGTCTTTCCCCATCATGACTATCCATCTAGGACATTTCTCCCTCCTCTTTTGGCAAAGATCCCCCTTATCACTTCACGCCAGCTCTCTTTACTGTGTTTACTGTCACACATATTTCTCTTGATGCTCCCGATGACCACTGATGGAGGAAAGAGCTTCTTTTACTAGGGGAAGGCAGTGACCTTGGGAGAAGTGGTCTGACACAGGGTTGGGTGGGAAATGAGAAGAAGGGCAGCTGAATGACCAGAAACACAAAAGGAAGGAAAGGTATTCCCTCAATTTCCTATGTTAATTTTCCAGGGTTTGGGTTTGTTGTTTGTTTTGTTGTTTTGTTTTTTTTTCCCCCTTTACTAAAAAGAGATCTCTTTTCAAAGTTAAGAGGCTTGCCAAAAATGTTTCTAACCCTAAAAACAGTGGTAAGTAGCGGGGTGGCGGTGGGGGGAGGGGGGCAACCTAAGAGAAATAGGTTGCCTCTCTTCTGCCTTCTTTTATTCTGCTCCTTCCAGCACCCCCCCCCCATCTTTGCCCGCAACCTTCCTATGTGAAGTTTTCTGCCTTTCTTTTGTCTTCCATCAAAGCTCTGCTCTTCCGTTTTTAAGGTTTTTACCTTCAGCAGCTGATGGGAGCAAGTGGGTCAGTCCCCTCTCTCGTGCCAGCGGGCATGCTGGGCGACCCTGCCGACTCCCAGGGAGAGCAGCTCAGGGCCTGGACGCTCCCTCTGCAGGAACCTCTGCCGGCCTCCCTGTCCTGGTTCTGTTCATATGATTCTCTACCCCAGTGTGCATGTCTGAAATTCCCTGATCTAAACAAACGGGGGGCTGGGAGACCGGGACATAGGGAAAGGGTAACTCAGCCTTGATCTTGGAGCTCCCTCTGCTTTTGAAACAAGAACTGCATACTCCGGTCAGGACTGAGGTCCCTGCATCTGGGGCTCCAGGGGGAGAAAGGAGGAGAGGGAAATTCCACCGATTGCCCAACGTTCTTTTTCAGCCAAAGGGTGTGTTAACAGAGTTTTCACAGAAGTCAGGTGACTTGTAGGAAAAGGAGGGGATTAATATGGTGGGGGAAAAGCCAAACCCAGAAGTTCCAACCCTCCAACTGTGTATGAATCACGACTTAAGGGAGAGTACTTACCAAAAATGCCTCTCATCGCTGCCCTTAAAGCAAATTTAATGGTTAGATAATGACTTAGACCTAGACCCGAGCTGGTGTGGGATGATGGTCTTCCTCTTCCTAAAATCCCCTCCAAGCATCAAAATCCTATCCACCAATCAAGCCCCAGTTCAGATACAGTCCAGTCTCATCCATAACCCTTGGGTCCCGACGGGTTTCAAAATTCAGAATTTTACAGATTTTAGAAAGGCATTGCAGGACATGGACCCAATGTTAGGTAACACCTTCTCCCCCCCTCCCCTCGAAGGGCTGGGACAATGCTCCATTATCAAACATTAATATTTCTGCAGCTAAACATATTGACCTTCACAGTAAACGGAATAACTAAAATTATATAATTTGGTTATAATTAAATATGATATTTATACATTCCTTATAGTTATAAATTACCTTACATCGGTTCAGGTCAGGTGTTGCCACCAAAGAGGTTTTGGTGTCAAACTTGAAAACAAGCAAACAAACAAACAACACACACACACACACACATACACACACACACACACACACACACAAACACAAAAAGGCTTTTGGAATTCAAAGTTGCAGCTAAGGGACCAAGGGACGGCAGGCTGTACGATTCCTCCACAAAGTCTTCCCTGATCTCTCACCTCCTCTTTGTGTCCCTTTTTACTTCCTACCCCTATTTGGTGACTGCATTCCAGTGAATCTACACCTTATCGAAGGAAGATGCTCCCTTCTTTTACACACCACTAGGAATAAACACTTGCCAGTTAAACTGTGATATATCATTGATTATAAGATGAATCTTGATTTCAGGAGCATTCAAATGTTGGGGGAAACCACGTGCCTTGAAATCGATTGCACTGGGCCTGGAATCAAAGGACGGGTCCAGGACGGGTTCATTACCTAACTTCTCAGCTTCTTCAAGTATAAAACAGAGAGAGATAACATCAATTCTGCCTACCTTACATGGCTGTCAGAAGACGCTAATGAAACAGTGAAAGAGGGGCGCCTGGGTGGCTCAGTCGGTTAAGCGTCCAACTTCAGCTCAGGTCATGATCTCATGGTCATGATCTGTGCTGATGGCTCAGAGCCCGAAGCCTGCTTCACAGCATGCATCAGCACACGGCGAGAAAAAGAGAGCATCTTACCAAATTGTCCAGGATTCCTTCCCCTTTTCCTTCTGAATTCAACACTCACCAGAAAAGTTAGTGACTCTCTCCTACTCTTCCGTGTTTTGACCTCTCCTTTTCAATTTTGTCATCCAACTAGATTATTTTATTTTCCCCTCGAAATCTCAAGACACATGTGAGGACATCTCTGGGCCCTGCTACCTTCCCTGGGTCAGCAAGAGGTCAAGCCAAGGGCTCTTACAGTGACAGGGGACATGTTACATAATCTTCTCAGTATCCTGGGGAGTCATAAAAATGATGGTGCTTATCGCCATCCTCAGGGCCATCTGAACCCCAGCTGAGGTGACAATGCTAATATACAAACCACAAATTTAGAACCTTCCGTGTTAGTATTAAATGTAACTAACACACATGGGTATAAACATGAAAAGGACATTTTATCTTGATTGATTGATTCAAGTGGAGTTTTTTTAAGTTTATTTATTTTTGAGAAAGAGAGAGGGAGGGAGGGGCAGAGAGAGAGAGGGAGACAGAGAATTCGAGAGAGGCTCCACACAGTCAGTACAGAGCCCAACATGGGGCTTAATCTCGCTAACCATGAGATCATGACCTGGGCCGAAATCAAGACTCAAATGCTTCATCGACTGAGCTACACAAGCACCACAAACATGAGAAGTACATTTTAGGATATGAGCACTAGTGCTACTCAGAATCCTAACTATCATATTCACAATGTTAGGGTCTCTGAGGGGCTGAATAATACCATCCCTCTTTCCATTCCAAGTTCTAGAGAGATGGAGAAATAAAACAAAAGCAGCAAACGGAGCCCAAAGTAATATCTCTAATAGCAATAAATGCCAAGATCGAGCAAGTAGCCTAGCGTAAAAGCCAAATAGTGGCTAACTGACTGCCAGAGTTAGAATTACCCTTCTAGGGGAGCCTGGGTGGCTCAGTCAGTTAAGCATCTGACTCTTGGTTTTGGCTCACGTCGTGATCTCACGGTTGGTGGATTCAAGTTCCACACTGGGCTGTGCGCTGACAGTGTGGAACCCACCTGGGATTCTCTCTCTCTCTCTGCCCCTCCCTCCCCCCAAAATACATAAACTATAAAAAAAAAAAAAAAAAAAAAAAAAAAAAAAAAAAAAAAAAAAAAAGAATTACCCTTCTAGACACAGACAATGCTAGTCCAGGGAAGGCCTTCTCAAATAGAGAATACATGCTCCCCTTGGACAGCTCACTCCCAAGAGGAAGAAGGGCCAAGGTAAGGACATGCCCACGTATTCTTTCTGCCTTTACCAGGTAGATAAATCACTCTATCTCCCCAGGGCTGTGAGTGATGGAATGGAGTGGCCACAAGAGTCATATCATGGAGCTCTCTCCATCGGGAAAGATCTATCAGAGGTAGTACAAATATTTCTCCCCAACACTCCCAAGGCTTTTCTTCTTTAACCTGTTAGATTTGACAATTAAGCATACAATGAGCTAGGCAGACTACCTGGGAGAAAGGCTCAGCAATCTAATGAGGGCTCCATTCGGCCAAGGCCAACCACTGCTCCCCTTTTGTGTCCTCCAGCACCACTGGCCCCAGAAGCCCCCCCAAATGATTCTGAACAATCCATTAACATTAAGTATATTCCGCACCCAAGGTTGGAAATTCACCTATTCCATTCCCATCCCAGATTACACCCAGCCTTGTCAGCCAAGACAGCTATCAGAGCTCTGCAATGGGATTAAATGACGGTATTAAAAAATTCCAACAAGAGAAATTCTTGTCCTGACAGCCCGCGCCGTACGCCTCTCTACTCGAGGCCCCGCTCTGGGTGTAGACCTCTGCGTGCCTGCTGGCCTGTGGGGAGCTCAGGGCCTGGGTTCCCTGCGGGACAAGTGCTGACAGGAGAACGTGGCGTTGCTCTGAGGCACAACCGTCCGGGACTACGCCCAGATGAACGAGCTGCCTCCGCACCTCGGGCCCCAGGCCTGTGGTGCTCCGCTTCTCTTGCAAGCAGATCGTGCATCAGGAGAATGCCAAGAACAAAGAGATCCGAAATTCCCTGAGTACTTCCAACGCCGTAGCTGGTTCGAGCCCAACTTCACGCTGAGAAGTGCCAGGGGAACAGCGCGCAGGCGCACCCCTTCTTCACCTTCCTGCGGTAGGCTCTGCCTGCCCCTAGTGACGACGCCACTGCGCGCACGACCCACCCCAAGTTCATCATCTGGTCTCCAGTGTCCCCACCGACGTCACCTGGAACTTCGAGAAGTTCCTGGTAGGCCCAGATGGTGTGCCTAT